CAAAATGGGACAGCCACCACGCACCACGCCCACACACGCCCCATTCATCGCTAGCATCCATTGAAATTGAAGGAACAAAGAGGATTAGTGAAGCTAAAGAAAGAAAGAATTGCAGTACAACACCCCTCTTCACTGCAATAGTGGGGCACGTCGATAAAAGCTAAGCCACAAAAAGAACGTAATCCCCAAACATTTGTCACCAGGAACATACATAGAGGACCGCCTTTTCTATTAGTATTGGTTTTACAACGCAAAAACGACTCAAGTTGGGTCGCACTTACCGAAAAGCATCGTGAATCCATGGTAAAATAGTGTTGGATGGTGTGAACCGAATGTTTTGTGTTGCTTAGGCTTTTAATATAGGGCGCTCAGCCTAAATAATTTAGTTTTTATTGGGGAAATTATTAGTTAAGTAAAATGAGATTTTGTGAGATTATGCATTCCCATACTCCTCCATATGGAAAGCCTATTTGAAACGGGAGCCTCACAAAATTATATTTATGCATCTCGGTAAAATGTAGTTTATAATTGTTGTCGTGGTCAATCTTGAGGAGTGTGGGGGGGTGGTGGGAACGCCTAATATTTTATTTGAACTTGATGAAAAAGGCTCGATTTATATATGCATATTTCTTATACTTGTTTATTGAGTTAGAAACGGACGTATTGGCTGTAGATTTAAGGTTTAATTTGATCAGTTTTTTTTTCCCCCTAAAAGATTCTCATTCCATCCATCGGAAGTTTAAGGATAGTTGGCCGATCTTTGATTAGTAAATTTTTCCCAAATGGAAATCTCGGAATTTTCCTTACAGTTTTTCGCTCTTTATTGTTTGTTCACGATTTTAGTGTGGGGGGTGAAACGATAAATTCGCTCACATTCACCGAAATATCATCCAAACGCCTGCAAGTTGCAAGCGCCGCAGTGGAAACGCCATTTCCAGCTCTTTTTCAGCCTGTGGCGGCGGGGAATTCTAATCCCGTGCGCCCCCGCCGGGGGGGGGGGGAGCCATTTGGCACCGCGGTGAAACAGATCTTGGGTGGCATTATGGCGACATTCTTGGTTTGCCCCACACGGCTTTGGACGAAGGGTAATCTTTCTGCCGCGTTATTTGTGCGGTGAGTTGGTGGCTTTGTAATTATTTTTTTGGTGGCTGACCCTATGTTTATCTGGGGAACCAGTTCATTTTATCTTTTTTTATTTTTTCAAGTCTACCCCCGGGGTGTGTTTCGGGTATCTGTTCCGCTGGCGAAACCTTATACTATCACCCGGGGTTCTTCATTATCTCTTTGCTTTTTTTTCTTGCGTGGAGTTTCTCGAATAAACACCAGGTTTCAAGTCTTCGTTATTATTTTTGAGTTTAATGTCTAAGGAAGGTGGCGAACGGCGACAAATTTTTACTAGTGCGGTCTTTGAGAATATCCAGAAGGACCTTCAATGTGCGCTTCAAAATCTTTCTAATGAGCGTCTTAAAACAGAAAAGCTTCAGAAAAAGCTGGATGTTTCTGAAAATATGGTTTCCGCTCAACGAAAAGAAATCTTGATGTTGCAGCATCAACTGGCTTCTGATTGTTCAATTCCTCAATCAGGGAAATTGAAGGGCGTGAAAGATATGAAGCCTCGAAGCTCAATTGATGAACCAGATATAGATAGTGTGGAAGTAAAGAAGCTTCTGAAAAGGGTTGAGTACCTGGAAAAGCAGAATGAGGACATGACATCTTGCATAAGAAAGCAGAACAAACTTATTGATATCCTCAAGCGGCAAAAAATTCTCCTTGAATCTGCATCTCTTTTATCCATTCATGAAAAGGAATTCGAAAAGTTCTTGGAGCTGGAAAAATATTGAAGAACTTCCGGGAAGTGTTGGTCTTTTCCAAGGATGAAACTACACCGATGATTTCTTTGGATAGTGCTTTCAGCCTTTTTGTCTTTAGGAGCTGATTTATAGTTGTTGCTTCCTTCCCTCATTCATTTTTTTTACCCTTTGCTACTTCTAACTAGTAATTTCTGTACACTATAGCAATGGCCTGTATCACGGGCGATGAAACTGGCTTATTAAAGGTCTGGAACATCGCGAAGAGTAGTGGAGCAACTTTGTCTTACTCATTTGGAGAACAGAATCGTCAGAGAGGGATTATGGGAATGTGTTGGGTTGATAGTTCGACCTCATCTGTTGCTTTTTCAACTCAAGATGGAGATGTCACTATGTTCAACACAAAGGATGGCAGAAAGGTCACATCTGCTAACATTGGACACGTTTCTGCACTACCAAATGCAATGTCATTCGTGAAAGGAAAGCTGATCATGGTGACCAGTAATGCATCTGTTCTGATCACGAATTCTGAGTTGGAGTTACCAACCCTTTTTGAAGCCAACGGTCCCGTCGATGCGGTCCATATTCAGAGAAAATACGGGATGATTGCGATTGGGGGTAATGAGAATGAGTTGTGCGTTTACGATTTGGGGGCGGATTCTGCCCCTTCACTTGTTTTCAAGGCTCAAAATGTCCGTGATCATATTCTAGATGTACCCTACCCTACTTTTATTACTGGAACGTGTATTATCAACCCTTTTGTGTTTTGTACCAGCACGGCATATCATCAGGTTCGTTTTTATGATCGACGCTCTAGCGCAAGACCTGTGCAGGAGTTCGAAATTAATCGTGAAATCGAAAGACGTCCAACAAGGATGCTTCAATGGAACTCAAATAAATTTCTTATCGGTGAAGCTAGCGGCGACGTTCACCTATATGACACTCGAAGAGGGTTCACTTCAAGGGCAAAACTTCGAGGTGGGGTTGGGAGCGTGCGAAGTATGGCTAAACACCCAGCAGGGCACCAACTGCTAGGGGTGGCAGGACTAGACAGGAAGGCTAGGCTGTACCATGTTCCTACAGGCAAGTTGTTACTTTCGATCTACACGAAGCAGAGGGTCAATTGCATTCTTTTTGACAAGCAGCTCCCTCTGTCGGACAACGTTTCTTCGTATAGTAGGGTTGTAAACAGTAAGCAGCCAGAGAGAGCGGCTACATTGGGTGAGGATGTGTGGGATGACATGGATCCTGTTATTGATGAACTTGACGAGGGTATTCCTTGTGCCGAAGCGAAGTCTTCTAGAAAGCGGGAGCGTAACCCCTAGTCTTCCAGTTTTCAGACATAATAATAATAATAATAATAATAATAATAATATCTAAGCATGATGCCCTGATAAGTTGCGTGTAAATTGAAATTATCCACACTTTTATTTTCCATTATTAATCATCAATCTTGTATTGTAGTGGAGATGGGGGGTCTCTTTGGGAAATGACTTCGCAAATACCTTATCGTAATTCAATTCCGAACGGAAATTTCTTTTCCTTGAATGCCTTGTCTTCTTTGCCACACTATAGGTTTTAGCGACAAATATGATGGTCTTTTTTCTTGCATCTTCAGGCTTTACATGCCCCTTGATCCGGCGTCAAGTCCACACTGCACGGAATAATTGAAGATTCGTATTTTTTTGTGTGATTTCTGTTTCATAAAATTTCACTATTCGAACTTTGCGTGGCCTTTAATAAAGATCCCACACCAGTTTTTCTAATCATTGTTTACTCTTGTCAGTAACATAGCTTTTCTGTATTAGCTCATTCTGCTTGATACTGCGATGCTATCAATCTATACTTAAGTTTTTAAAGGGTTTTCACATGGGAAGGAATTTATTCCTAAGCGATATACCCTCGGATATCAATTTAGTTAAAACAACATGGTCTCAGGTCCTCTAATATTATTTATTTTCTTTTATTGTCACTTCTCCATGCTCATGTGATGTGTATTCTCTTGAGTGGGGCTAGCTTTATAAAGTTGATATTTAGCTAATTATCAGCTCACGTTCAAGGGTCAATTGAATGAATATATAATTGAATTGCAAATTCTGCTTGTTCTGGACAATTCAGATTTGGCATATTCTATTTTCATTTTTCGAATACGTAGAATTATTCAAGCAAAGCTTTCTCATTTACTTTTATATTGAATACATGCCCATTGATTTCGCAGTAATAAGGCATGTGCCGCGATTTCAGTTACATTCCGGGAAACCTGAGTTCGAGAAGCAGCTGCAAGATTATACCAAACTAATGAAGAAGAATGACTGGAGACTCTATGGACCTTCCAAGTATTTCTCCTACAGCAAACCGACTGAACAAAGCTAGTCATGTGGGAACACGTGTATACTAATATTCATGTTGTACTAGTTTATCTTTTTGAGCGATTTCAATATTGAGGGTAATATTAAGAACAATGCTAAGAGGGAATAGATAGATCCCTTTTTCATTTTTCAATTATTACTTTTTCCCCATTATGACTCCACTACACACTATACATAAGCAAAGTTCAAAAAAGATTCAATGAGTTTAGCAGAGGAGATCATCCGAAATCCCTTTTCTGCAGTTAGCGCGAAGAATTTCCCACTACTAGTGACCGTGGAGAAAAAAGATGTTATTCTGAAATTAATTGATGATGCCGTCTATTGCGACGCCTGGGAGGCCTACTTTGTGTATGCTCACGAAATGAGCATTCCTTTGTCCGATGAAATAGCTTTTGAGGCTGTCCACGCTGTGGGCTTAGATGTTTTTAGTGTGCACCTTTGGATCGAGGCCGCCAGATGCTGCTCAAACCGAGAAAACCAACTTGAGATTTATCATCTTGGTCTTTCCGTACCGCTCTATGACCGCCATCTTCTTTACGCAGAATATAAGGCATCTGATGATGTGGACTCAGTAAACTTTATCGAGGAGAATGAGGCCTTTGATAAAGTTCTTGAGCTCGAAAGATGGCCTGATCGGTATGCCCATTTCTATTGTGATACAGATAAGATCGAGGTACGTCGGCAATGGATTGCTCTTCTTCAATGCATGAAGAATGTTCTGGAGAATGGAATTTTAGAAAGGGATATTCAAATACGTCGGATGATTCTTGCGTATCGCCAGATGTGTGCCCAGCTACCTGAGGACGACTCCTGTTGGTATGATTACTGTCTTTTTCTGCTGGACACTGTTGATGATAAGGAATTCGCTCTTGAAACTGCCTTGACTGGACTTCGTACAATAAAGCAAGATTCCTTTGCGCTTCTGAATATTGTAAACATTTTGATGAGCGAAAAGAATGACACAGCTCCTATGAATATGTCTGACAAGGCGCTTTTCTCGCAGAGAGTTATTGGGGAGGAGCTTGCCCAAGCTACCTCTGGAACGAATAAGGAGTGTGTTAAACGGCTCCGCAGAATCGGCAAGCTCGCCGCAAGTGAGGGCGTGCATGACTGGAAAGTGTACTCCCAGTGGAGTACATCCGAACACTTGGTCGTGAAGGATTCCCAAATGGCCTCCAAAATACTCGAGAACGGTGTGGTTTGCTGCTCTGCATCGCCGGATGATGCGATTTTGCTTGAGGATGAAGCGATTCAGCACCACCTTGCCCAGCATCATGAGCGTGAGGCCTTAGGTTATGCTGAGCAACAGGTCGAGGAAGCTTCAGCAAGGCACGATGTCGGAAGAAGAAAGGCAGCGTGGAACCGCTTAGTCTCCACGGAAAAAAAACTTGGCTTGACTCTTTCCAAGGCTGTAGGCCGTCGCAATGAAGTATTTCCTCGCACCCGACTTAAATCCTTCCTTGAGAAAGTGCGAGTTGGTTGCTATTTACCGTGTTCGAAGGAAGAGTTTCACTGGATGCAGTTCTTAGAGGATTATGAGGCAAAAAAGAACTCTGAAATCGATCCTACCTACCAGTGGCTGGAGGTTCCAAAGGAGAAAAGACTTTCTCCTGCCTTTACTGTTCCAGCATTTTTCGAGACTGTGGATGAGACTCATTGGCCGGTGCTCGTGATGGCGCCAAATCCATTTGAGCCCAAGGAGTCCGACGATCCAGATGCTGTGGTGGGACCTCGAGAGTTCTGTGGAAAGTTAGTCTACCGGTTGCAAGTTGACAAGCCTACAAAAGCCCGCTTGCAGCGAGAGGATCAGATAAGAAGAATACAGGATCTGAATAGTGACGCTTTAGGAAAGGCTGAAAGCCCTTTGGGACGCTTGTTTAAGCTCCTCAAAGATCGTACGTTTACCGAAGCACAAAAAAGGCAACTGCAATCGCTCTCGCTTGAATGGATTATAACACAGTTGATTAGTTCTGAGTTAAATCTTAGCGAAGGCCTCAATAAAAGGGTAAGAAAAACATAATCTTTCCTCATACAAGGCTCAAAATTTATACCTAGATCGCAATGTTCCTGCTACGAATATGCTGCATCTCTCTATTGTGATGTTTTGTTGCCACTTTACGGGATAAATATCAGCTAAATAAAGCAATAAAGATTATAAATTTTCCCTTCGGTGTAGTGTATTTTGCGACTTGATTCCCACTATTCTGCTGAAACTGACTCTATTTTTGTTCAATTTATGTAGTCACATTCGTTCTCTTTATTGACTCTACTTTTTTTTGCTTAGTTTTTTTTTTTGTACCTTTGTTGTTTTGCATTTTCAGTGTCTACCATGAATTTTATTCAAGCGGCTGAGGGAGAGCCCCTTCGCGTCCTTGGACGAAATCCATTTGAGGATATTACAACTAAGAAACGCTTGAGGCAACTTCTTCAGACACATCAGGGGCGTGACAAAGTTTTTAAAGTTGTTCAGTATCTTATGCGTATACAGTTATGGTGGGATTCGGTCACTTTCCAGTCTAACTATTTGCCCGGTGAGAAATACACCTTGAATGAGAAAATACTCATGACGATATTAAATAGCCGAAGGCTTTTTCGTTTGGGGCGCTTTTTTGGCGAATTTGAGCGAATTCGTATTACTCTAATCAAGGCCTCAGAGATAATTTACATTCCTTCCAGTGGATCTAAGTTGTTACCACTTTTCATACAGTGTCAGATGGTGCTTGACCTGTTGGCTCGATCTCTTATGTTTGTAAAATGTTTCTGCGAGGACATGGCGTTTCTTGTGCAGAAGGGATTTATTAACTCCACTATTGTTGGAAATTTGATAGCAATTGCGACCAAGTGTGGCATTGTAGTGTTGGCTATTGACTTGTATCTGAACACATTGCGCCTCTCCCAAGGGCTAATAGATGCTTCGTCACAGGAAGAAGTTGTGGATGACATAATCACTAAAGAGTCATTTTCACTACTTTCGAAGTACGATAGGGTGGACAAGCACCGACGTAAAGTTCTATCAATATCTAATGAAAAAGGAAAAAACAATGCGGATTCCAAGAATGATGCGCAAGGAAAATCGAAAAAAAATGATGAGGATAATTATGTAGTTTATGTGGACTCCTATGCAAAACTTCTGTGGATCGATTTCGAACTTCATTGGATATTTGTTACCGAAGTGAAGTTATTGCTCGACATATTTGTCGCTTTGTCTGGCATTAACCGTTGGAACAATCAAGGTCCTGTCAGCGTTGCTGGGCTTTTTTCTGGACTATGCTCAGTCTATCGTGTATGGACATATGGTCGTTGAGCTGAAACTGAGAGTATAAATAGTTTGTTTGTTTCCTCGTGAAACGGTTTTTCTTATAAACAGTCCTTCTCATAACATTTCTCACCGTTACCATAATAAAGAAAAGCGGTCGTCAGTGTGACTGATAGGGCCAGGCGTCGGATGATTTCTGAAAAAAAGAATAAAAAAACTCCATATTGTGTAATATAGAATGACATTGAACATTTTGAGCTATTTGTTCCATTTTTTACTCAAGGAGACTTTGTTGAATATCTGTTGTGTGTGCGTGTGTGCAGTGATAGTCTAACAAATTGAATAGTAATCCCATAGAGTAATTTTAAATTACTAGATGTCTATCCTGCTACTCGTCCTTATTTGTTTGTTTGAGTACCTACGTCGCTGGCACAGTGTGGCAAAGCTTCCACCAAACCTTCTTCAAGGAGATGTGCTCTTGATTTTTGCTCATCCTGATGACGAAGCCATGTTTTTCTCACCACTCTTGAATTATCTACGAAGCAACAACGTCATTTGCCACTTTCTCTGTTTCTCCAGTGGCGATTCAGAAGGTAAAGGCGAGCAAAGGGAGCAAGAACTTTACGAAAGTGGGAAGTATTTTGGTGTTACCAAGCGCAATATCAAAATTGTAAATCATCCCGAGCTTAGGGATGGATTGAAAGAAAAATGGTCTCATACGCTTGTGAAACTTGAAGTGAATGCATACCTCAGAAAAAATGGAAGTATTTCTACTCTGGTCACCTTTGACAAGTTCGGAGTATCAGGACATCCAAACCACATTGCGGTTCATAATGGTGTTCTAGGGTTAAAGCGTGGCATGCCTCCTGGTCTTTTATTCTTGCAGCTCCGTAGTCGAAGCATATTGTCGAAGTACACAGGAATCTTTTCTGTCCTCAGCCCCTTACTTTTCATGAAGGAGAATCGTGATCGGAGAAATTTTTTTATTCCTATCCCACCATTTTCACTTCTTTGTACTTGGAACGCTATGATGAACCATGCGACACAGTTGGTATGGTTTCGTTATCTCTTTGTAATTTTTTCTTCGTATACATATCTTAATGAATTCACTGAGATGAGAATTTGATCAAAATGATACGGTTTGGTGACACATGGTTTAGCATTGTGTCTCAAATAAGAATGCATAGAAAGCATTGAAAGTAGATGCACTATTAAAAGAAAATGTGTTTGAAGTCAGTAACATTTTTTTGTCGACTCCATCGCTGAATTCATCGGGAGCTTCAAGGTAATCTACATAGAGGTTCCCCTCACTTTAGGAATTGGTTTTTTCCTTCGTTGCATAGTGACAGATGTCTGTCTTCAACATTTTTGGAAAATAATTTAACTTATGTAGTACTTGAATCTCTTTGCTATGAAAGGAATGCTTGCTCTCATCATTGCTATTGTCATTCTTTCCTTGCTTACGGAATATCCACAAGCGGCATCTCAAGAGCCTCACGTGTAAATCATATTGATGCCTTGCGCTAGATGTTTTGTCATCATTAGTAGTCAATCGGTGGTAGTACTTTTGCTGATGTCACTAGATCTAAGAATGAAGAAGACCATGTAGTTTTTATTCAATCCTTCGTTCTGGTTTCATTTGCATAACTATTTGTAGAATGCAACTGTGCCTTTCTTTCTAATATATATATATATATATATATATATATATACACTACTTACTTT